TTTGATGTTATATGTTTTACTGAAACCAATTTAAATGATAGTGTATTTGATTCTGAAATGTTTGATTCCCAATTTACTGTATTCAGAAGGGACCGTTATATAAGTTGTATTTTTAAGCATGATGGCGGTGGTGTATAAATTGCTGTTAAGGAAAAGTATCATGTAATTAGACAAAAGAGTTGGGAATGTGAAGTTGAAGATCTTTGGGTGACTATCCTTCCGAGCAATGTTTCCTGTCAAAAAGCTCCACTTATGTTTATGTTATCTCCCTCCCGATATTTCTCGCGACCACTTGCAAGCCTTTTACGACAATGTTCATAAAAACGTATCTCGTGTTGAGGATAAAGACACATTTTTACTTATTGGCGATTTTAACACCCCACATCTGAGTTGGTCCCCTAGTACTTATAGTAACGTTATGACACCTGGTATTTCATCCGACTTTAAACCTAATTGTCTTGTTGATATTATGAATCTTTGTAACCTAGTTCAACTTAATTCAGTCTATAGTGTGAATAGCCGTCTTCTTGATCTCGTCTTGTCTACAACTGAGAAAGTGCTCGTAACATCTACGGAGCCTTTTACTCGAATAGATTCACATCACCCCCCACTGAAAATTGTATTAATGGAAAATTTTAAATTAAAAAAAAAAATAAACGTGCGCAACCAATAAGATATAACTACCGCAAATGTAATTATCCAGATTTAAAAGAGGATCTTGCAACTGTTGATTGGTTTAACTTATTAAATGAACCGGACATAAACGAGGCTGTCGATAAGTTTTACACTCTCTTGAAAAAGTTAATTGCAAAACAAACACCGCTTGTAAGTAAAACCAATAACAAATATCCACATGGCATACTTCAGCATTAATAAAGTGTCTCAAAGAAAAAGATAAGTATCACCGTCGTTTTAAAAAATATCATAATCCTAGAGATTACGACACTTATGCATTGCTACGCACGAGATGTAAAAAACTCACGGAATCGGTGTACGCATCGTTTATTACCTCCATGGAAGAAGGTCTATCGGATAACATAAAGATATTTTGGAATTTTGTTAGCAATAAAGTAGGTAGCTCAGGTATGCCACAGACTATGACTCTTGGTACGGAATCTTCTTCTGACGCACAAGGAATATGCGAACTTTTTTCTCGGTACTTCAGTTCAGCTTTTGAAGTTTCTCAACCAGTCATTAACCAGGAGTCTGTTACTAATGATGTTGTATACTGTGATAGTTATTGTAATTAAAATATGTGTAATATAGAACTAAGTCAGGATAAAATATTGGACAAATTAAAGAAATTAGATAATCGCAAAGGTCCAGGGTATGATGGTATTCCCGCTATATTTTTCTCAAATTGTGCAAGGCAACTGTGTGAACCACTAACATTATTGTTTAATAAGTCATTAAAGTCTGGTGCTTTCCCTTCCATTTGGAAACTGGCTCACATCGTACCCATTCGCAAGTCCGGAAATAAGTCTAACTGCGAAAACTACAGACCTATTAGCATTTTGTGCTGTGTTGCTAAGGTTTTTGAATCTGCGTTCTATGATCACCTTTACTCTCAAATTAAGCCGCTTATATCTAGCAAGCAGCACGGTTTCGTGAGAGGCAGATCAACAGTGACTAATTTGTGATGAAGTGTGCTGTTTGACTCTAAATTAACATTTCGTGAGCACTATGCCCACATTAAAAACAAAGCATTCCAGTTACTAGGTTTCATAACAGATAAGGACTTCAAACAGCCTCAAAACTTCCTGACCGTTTATAATAGCCTTGTCCGTAGTATTCTTGAATATGCTTGTGTTATTTGGTCTCCCTGCTACACAGTGCATTCGGATAGTATAGAAAGCGTCCAAAAAAGAACCCTTAGAATACTTAGCTACAAATGTGGTCTTGGTCGCCTGCAGACTTACAAGAATAATACTTCTTTTTACAACCCGATAATAAGAATGTGTCGACTTTACAACGAGATGTCCATGAAAGACTCCGGCTTGGATATTTTTGACCCAAGGTCAAGGATATTCAAAAGAGCAGTAAAAGAGCTTACAATCATATACACTCATTCCCATATCAGATTTTAAATTTGTTGTTTGTAAAATTTGTGTCATATATATATATAATTTTTAATGTAATTTGACTGTTTTGTTGTCCATATAATAAATAAATAAAGAAAGAACACGTGAGTGGTTTCAACGCTTTAAGGGCGAGCATTTACCCAATAGAGACTCGTTTCAAAGTAAAGAGGAGTTGGTAAAATCATTGGGTGTGAGCCAACAACCCATTTGAAAATGCTTAAACAATCTGGGAATGATCACTAGTACTGCACTGCAATATTGCACATAGATTAACAAGCAATTTAGAAGTTGACGCAGAAAACTGCATGAAGTACTTAGATTGCTCTGATAGACCACTAGCATCTATTTCTTTTCACCCAGTAGATTATACAGAGCTAAAAAGGTTGTTACTAGTATGAAGCAAAAATCTACGTTAGACATTTACGATATGAACACTAGAACATTAAGAAATCTTATTAGAAATAACAATAATTTATTCGAGTTGATAATTATTGTTGTCAATTCCTGCTTAGTTAATGGCATATTACCCGACGTACTCAAACCGGGTAGGGTAATTCCACTTTTCAAAAAAGGGGATTCCACAGATCTAAGTAATTACAGGCCAGTTTGTATATTGCCAACTTTGTCGAAAATATTATAAGCCATTATAAAATCAAGAATTGTAAGTTACTTTGAAGAAAATTATTTATTTACAACGGCACAATTTGGATTTAGAAAAGGACGATCAACCCAAATGGCCATAAGAAAAGTAATTTATTTCAATCTAGAATCTTTGGACAATTCCAATAGATGTGCTAGTGTTTTTTGTGACCTATCAAAGGCTTTTGATTGCTTGCCACATGATGTAATGATATTAAAATTGCAGCATTATGGGTTTCAAGGAGCTGAAATAAATATGATGAAAACTTATTTAAGTAACCGTAGCCAAATTGTTTCAGTAAATGAGCAAACTTCTTTAGCGAGTTCTGTGTCAATTGGAGTACCACAAGGCTCGATCTTGGGTCCTGTTTTGTTTTTGATCTATATTAATGATCTTGGCAATGCAATACCAGATTATACACATTTAAGTTTATTTGCAGATGATACACATATCGGTTTAAGAGACAAAAGATTATCAAATTTAGACGATAAAATTCATAGTCTAATGAGCTTGCTAAAAGAATGGTTTCGCGCAAATGGTATTATTCTAAATTCCAATAAAAGCATTGTAATGCATTATCAAACGAGGCTAGACATTCGTGATAATTCGACTGCAAAAGCAAATGTATTTTTAGGATATACAGTAGATAGCACAATAAACCATAAAGCTCACATTAAAAAAAATTGTAAGAAAATAGCTAGCGGTAATTACGCATTATTCAAGCTAAAACCATTACTAGATAAAAAAGACACTCATATCTGTGTACTATGCCTACATTCATTCTATAATAAGGTATGCCGTTACTATTTGGGGTAATGCTCCGGATATTATAAAAGTTTTAAAGTGTCAAAAACAGTCTATAAGAATAATCAATGGTCTGAAAAAAAGTAGCCCGACAAGAAAACATTTTAAGACCGGCAAAATAATGACAGTGGTTTCGCTTTATATATATAATAGTTTATTAGAGGTACATGAGGATAAAGAAATACGGAAAAAGAGAGACATAAATCAATACAATCTGCGTAATAATGAAAAACATGTTCTACCCATTAATATATTAGTAAAATTAAAAAAACATGGGCGTTACTCAAAAATATTGATGTATAATAAATTACCAAAAAGTTTAACCAGCCTACATTATAGCAAATTTAAACAGACACTTAAGTATTTTTTTGAGAACAACCCATTTTACAAATTAAGCGAATACAGGTTAATGCAACTCATGGAATCGTCATTCTTGTGTAACATGCAAACAAAATAAATTACCTAATTCTATAACGTAAAGCATTAATGTATATAAATTAAGGAAATAGTACAATATTATAATTTTACCTTATAAATTTATTAAAACTTTTGTAACCAATGACTTACCTGTAACGATTGTTATATTAAGGTCAATAAATATTTCAATTTTCTGATTTCTAGTTGAAGCCGAGAGATGTTAAACGGCTTTTCTGTACTGGTGATCAGCTGTTTGAAAGACAAAAACGGAAAGGATTTTTGCATCGCATTTTGACTAGTGACAAAAATTGATGGATATCCCGGCCACGCTTGTGCGCTGAGAACTAAACTGAATATTTATGACTCCAATGTTATGCTCTGTATTTGGTGGGACCAGCTCGGCGTAGTATATTATGAGCAGTTAAATCTGTCTGAAACAATCACAGCGGATCTTTGTCGAAGGTAATTAATGCGTATGAGCCGAGAATTAATAAAAAAACGGCTATAATACCTCGTAAGATACGATAAAGTTATTTTACAACATGACAATTTTTTTTATAGAAGAGGGGGCAAACGAGCATACAATTCACCTGATGTTAAGTGACTACCGCCGCCCGTAAACAACCGCACCACCAAGGGAATTGCAGGTGTGTTACCGGCCCCTTAGAAAGGAGTAAGCACTTCTTGAAGGTCCCTAGGACGTATCGGTCCGGAAAAATCGCAGGTTGTAAACTGTTCCACACAGAGGTCGTACACGGAAGAAAATTCCTAGTGAAACGTACAGTGGTGGACCGCCAAGCATACAGATGATGTGGATAGTATCGGGAGGTTTGCTGCGTAGTGCGTTCATGAAATTTGGCGGATGGGATTGATCCGAACAATTACTCAGAGCACTCTCCGTGGTATATGCGAAAGAAAATGCAAAGAGATGCAACATCTCGTCGCAGCGCCAGTGAATCGAACCGATCGGAAAGCACTCGGTCGTCAACGATTCGAGCCGCTCTGCGCTGGATGCGGTCAAGTGGAAGGAGCTGGGACTGGGGAGCTCCAGCCCAAAGATGGGAACAGTATTCCAACAATACAATATAGAGATTGTGGAGAAGCTGTGCCGGCCACCGCCGCTGATCCGTCCGTCGGTGTCGATGGGCGCGGCGCCGCCTGAGGCCGTGGGCGTGATGCGCCAGTGCTGGAGCGAGGCGGCCGATCTGCGCCCCGACTTCAACCGTCTCTACGACATATTCCGACACATGCACCGCGGCCGGTAACATTACAACATTCCTGCTTTCCTTCTCTTTAAACTTCTTAATATCATTCGACTCATCGTAGATTTTTTTAATAGATTAAAGGTGACAATCGAGCAAACAGTCCATTAAAAGGTACAGTCCATACAGATAAAGAATTGGAATAGGATTAGAAATGAATGAATGAATGAATGAATATACTTTATTGCACACCACAAACAAATTTACAAAGAACATAACAGAGAGCAGATTACATGTACAATTTGGCGGCCTTATCGCTACATAGCGATCTCTTCCAGGCAACTAAAGGTGTAAAGGAATAAAACAGTGAGTACTAGGTAGGTGGTGCAATATAAATATACCTAATATAATATCAATACATGCAATAAAATAACATATAAATAAATAACTAATACATTAAAAAAATATGATACACATATACATAGGTATATACATAAACATACACACACACATATATACATATATATATACATATACATACATATATATACACACATACACATATATACATACATATATCCTCAAATATATACCACTAACAATAACATAAACAAATAAATACAAAACTACATAATCACATAATTTATCCTAATGATTTTCGAACGATTGAGACAAGTAATGCTCTTTAAGAAGTCGCTTAAAGACTACAATAGTCTGAGCTTCGCGTAAATACAAAGGTAGGGCATTCCAGAGCTTAATAGACTGTACAGTAAAAGATTTATTAAAGAAAGATGTATTGTGAGTTGGTACCCTTAAAATGAGTTTTCTTGAAGAGCGTAAAGGTTCCCCTGGAAGCCTAACAAAACTAAATTTCTCCTTAAGATAAGGAGGAGTAGAAGGGTGAAATAAGACACAGTACAGAATAGAAAGAATATGCATGTTCCGGCGAAATTGGATAGGTAACCACTTGAGACGTGAGCGAAATTGGGAAATGTGGTCAAATTTGCGCAATCCAAATATGAACCGAATACTAGTATTTTGAAGTCTCTCAAGCTTAGTTAGCTGGTCTTTAGTTATGTCTACATAGCTTGCGTCGGCATAGTCGAGAATCGGAAGGAGAAGAGACTGTGCGAGCATAATTTTTGTAGGAATGGGAAGAAATGATCGAAGGCGACGCAGTGAACTAAGAGCGACAAAGGTTTTCTTACTTACTTCATTCAGTTGGCGTTTCCAATTTAAGGAACTATCAAGGTAAACACCAAGATTTTTGACATTGTCAAAGTAAGGGATCACAACCCCATCGAATACAACAGATGGTATGGAAAACCAGTCAATTCTTGAGATAAAGCTCTGACTACCAAAAATGATAGCCTGTGACTTTTTAGGATTGACATTTAGGCCATATGATTGACTCCACTCATGAATCATATTTAAGTCATTGTTTAATGTAGCGATTGCATTTGGCAAATTCTCAAGAGTTGACTGGGTGTAAATCTGGACATCATCCGCATACATGTGGTAGAGAGAAGAAATTTTATGAGTAATTGAATTAATGAAAATGGAAAAGAGTAAAGGTGACAACACGCCACCCTGCGGCACGCCTGCAGTAATATCACACCAAGATGAGTGAGTTTCATCAACATGAATACACTGCCGACGGCCACAGAGGTAACTTTGAAACCAGTCAATTACTGATGGAGATATGTTAAGGGAATACAACTGACTCAACAGTATATCGAAATCAACAGTATTGAACGCATTGCTGAAATCTAGCAAGGTCATGACTGTGAGTTGTTTATTATCCATACCCCACCGTATGTCATCAGTAACTTTAATTAAGGCAGTAGCCGTACTATGACCGGGACGGAAACCGGATTGTAAAGAATTCAACAAATTGTGCTTATTAAGGAAAAGTGTCAGCTGTTGGCAAATAAGTTTTTCAAGGACTTTAGAAAGGAAAGGTAAAATCGAAATGGGACGGAAATCAGTGAGGTTGACGGGATTAGATTTCTTCGGAAGGGGTATAACATAAGCGCTCTTCCAGGCTTGTGGGAATTTAGAGGAAGATGCACATGCGTTAAGCAAATGAGTGATAATGGGAGTGATAACATCAAGGAGAGGAACGATCATATTACGGCTAATGCTGTCGCTACCAACAGCATTTGAGGAGATGGATAATATGATTCTCTTAACATCACATACAGTAAATTGACTAAAAACGAACGGAGAATAATTAGGAGTCGGACTTACAGAAAGAGAACGAAGTGTTTGCAGTTTATGTTCACTATCAAAAGAGTTAGAAGGATTAGAAAAATGTTGATTTAATAGTTCAACATCAACACTGGGAGGTGAAGTATTAAGAGAGTTTCTACCAACTCCAACTGTTTTAAGAAACTTCCACACCCTAGATGAGTCGCCGTTCTCGACTGATGAATGAATATGGCGTCGTTGTGCATCTCTACACAATGTGTTGCAGCGATTCCGGATTTTAGTGTATTTTCTAAGGTTTTCCTCTGTTTTGTTCCTCTTAAGCTTTGACAATGCCGCATTCTTCTTCAAAATTAGCCTTTTCAGATCATCAGAGAGCCATGGAACAGGTAAGTGCTTGAGTTTAACATAATGCATTGGCGCGTGTACGTCATATAGCTGAGTGAGAAGGGAATTGAAAAGTTCCACTTTATCGTCAATGCATGGTGCTCTCTCAATCACTGACCAGTCAATATTATGAGCATCTTCGCAAAGTTGGTCAATATCCATTCCTCCAAAATTACGTCGCAGAACTAATTTAGGTTTGATTTTAGGAGGGCGTAGTTTATACGAAAGGAAAAGTAAATCGTGATAAGAGAATGCATCAGCAGGACACTGTCCATGCTTGAAAACTAGGTTTGAAGATGACACGATAATTAAGTCCAGAAGGGAAGGAGTATAGTTAGGAAATTTGTGAGTAAGGGGTAGGATTTGCATATTACACGCTTCAATTATAGACTCAAGTTTTATTGCCCGATTGTCGCCTTTAAGTAAACAGGTGTTAAAGTCACCCATCAAAATAGTATGACTATATGTAGGGACTAGTGATTCTAAAAGAGATTCAAAAGAAGTAAAATAGTTTATAGAAAGAGAGGGACTGTAAAAAACTCCAAGTAGGATTTTATTCTGAGACAGGGAGACCTCAACTAGCAAATGCTCAGCAGAATCACCAGGAGGCGGTTGACATGACGAACTAACAATTTTAAATGGAAAGTAGGATCTTAGATAGATCGCCACGCCCCCACCACCTCTATTACTGCGGTCATTTCTAATTAGATGAAACCCAGGCAAAGAGTAAGAAGTAGAAGGCAAACAGGGTTTTAGCCAAGATTCTGAAACTAAAATGGCATGAATATTTCGGGATTAAAATGACGCAAGCATGTCGGGATAATGAGCCGGAATGCTTTGGGCATTAATATGAATAGCATTGAAATTATTCACACAGTCTGAGAATCAAGAATTTAAGGTGATGTTGAGTGAAGGAGAAGCAGTTGTACTGTGATAACTAACATCACTAAGTGTCTCATCATCCGAAGACAAGGACAGAAACAAATCACTATCGCTACAAATGTTTGAGGATAACATAAAAACTAATTAAATATACAAATAAATACTAATATACAATAAAAAATAAAATATAAAAAATATAAATGCAAGATCGAACGGTACCCACACAATTACAACCACCAGCAGCATGAAAGAGAAAGCATATAACACAACAACAACTTGAACAAATAAAACAATAAGTTTAATATTAAAATTCCCAAAACAAAACAAAAAAAAACTTGTAGTCAAACACCAATAAATTGTAAAAAATTATAAACGTCGGACTAGGCAGTATCGTTATAGATGCCTTTGCCAAGTTAGTAAAATATAAAAAGTAAAAATGAATCTTAGAATTCTCTGTATACGTCTAAGAATGCTTCTGTCACCCTCTGTGGTTACAGTACTCTAGTCTAGTATTGAAACAGTAATCTATGGTTACAGGTAACAACTGTCAGTCTTAAAGTAAACAATAAAAATAAAAAACACAAAAGAAGAAATTAGGATAAACAATTAATCTAAATACCTGTAATGTGGAATAATTAAAATAATTTGAGAAACAGTCTTCAAACTAGTGCAACCAATTAGAAATGATGTCATTGAAATATATGGCAAAGAATTCTAAATTAATACCTGATAACCAAAAGTTACAAAAAATACATGTATTGAGCTGCTGGAGTACATGAGTAAAAGCTAAACTACAAGAAAAACACGCCACCTTCATTTTTTAGTCGTCTTCCTAGCCCTAGCAGTAGTAACACAGGGCTTAGGAGCAGAAGATGCCGCCGCAGCTGTCGTCACCGCCGTCGTCGCAGTCAAAGATGAGGTAGTAGGAACACCACACGCTGCATCAGGAATGGCGATCACTTCAGCCACGGTGTACACCCGGTGCTTCGTGCCATCGGACCCAAGCACCACGACATATCCATTTTGTGACCAACACTGGGATACGCCAAAGCGCTTCCGAGCAGCAACGAACGCCTCATGACGGCCCTTAGTCAAGAACTCGGATAGAGTAACTCCGCTACCCTTTAATTTGGTTTTAGAAAACCAGACTTTGTCACGGAGATCCTGATCTCGAAACTTCACAAGCAGCGCTCGAGGCTTGTCGCCACGGGGTTGCCCTAAGCGATGGCATCTAGTGATAGAGCTCACAGTAATTTCAGGGATATTCAATCGCTCCGATAATATCTTACTTGTGCAAAGAACTGGGATTACATCTCGGGCTTCAGGCACACCATGCACAAGCAACATCTTCCTTGTGCATGGAACAACAAAAATGGTGGCTCATCGAACCTGTACCGTCAACATGCACAGTACCGATAGGGAAAACCCGCCAATAACGGTGCATCGTTATAGCGTTATATTATTTGGTTAATTTGGAATTTTCTACTAATAGAAAAAATGTATTTATTATTACCTATCCCGGACAGATGGATCAATGAACATTTTAAAAATGGTTATTTATCTCTTAATGTCATGTTAATATTTTATATTAAAATATTAACAAACAAAATCAACAATAATTGTGAAGGGAAAACGTCGTGTCGTCGTGCGTAGCTCACAAATTGGCAAAACCGGACTGTTTTTTAAAATAGTTTATGGGATTTTTTTATCATTGATTCCAATGACAAGTTAGACTGAAGTTATAGAACGTACCGAAAAACGTATGCCACAAAGTGCTTCTTTTGCACTCTTTACCGGTGGCTGTAACTTTAGCGTTAGATAGCGACAGTAAGCGAGCGAAAGGCGAATAGAGACGACGTAATTTTATGACCTATTATTAAACGCACGGGTTTCAATTGGATGCTGTGGCCCATAGATATCTATCCTCAATTAATAATCAAAATGCAGATGCGTCGTCACCTCTGAGGACAAAGATGGAAATCCCCGTTCCAGTAAAAAGGGTTTAATGTTTCCTACTTTCACCATACGAAACATAGCCGTACTAAGCTTCTATTTTACGCTGCTGTGAGTGCAAAGTCCTTGCCCGATCGAGTCGACCCATTCGTGCTACAACCCTAATGTATTTGCACCGTGGCTTCACTACGTAAAAACTTCATTTTACATTATTTTTGCAGAAAAATCAATATAGTCGACTCAATGTTCGAGATGTTGGAAAAATATAGCAATAACTTAGAAGAACTTATAAAGGAGAGAACGGAGCAATTGGACATGGAAAAGAAGAAAACCGAACAACTCCTCAACAGGATGTTACCAAGGTAGGTTTGTTTAACTTAGAAGAAAAATAAAAATTCAGTGTCGATTATACATGCAACTTTCATTACAAAATGGCTGTTGATTGAAATGAAACTGGCGTAATCTATACAAATAAATAAAATTGAAGCGTCTGTTTGTAATGTCAAAATAACAGCTTTTTACCAAATGCATATGAAAGTATATACGGTACTTACTACAAAAACATATTTTTAAATTTTTATCTGTATGCCTGTCTGTTTGTTCCCGCTAATCTCCAAAATCGCTTGACTGATTTTGACAGAACTTTCACTAGATGCTGCTGATGTTATAAGGAGTGACTAGAGCTACTTTTATTTCAGAAAAATAGTTGTGGGTCCGCGCAAGAAATAAAAACCCAAGAAATACAACCGTAATAAATTCCACCCGAACGAAGTCATATAGAACAGCTTGTTAATTTATAAATATTATTGTAGCTCATCGAAATTAATCGTAATAATTGTCTATTGCTGATAATTAAGCACAAAATACAGATTAATTAGTTTTTTTCTCAGGTCCACCACTACTTTGAACTAATTTCGCGTAGCCTCTTTACAGATTAGCTTAATTTCTTTACAGATTACACAAACAAAAGCGAAGCAAATATTGCATAAATTATAATTGTTTAATTTAATAGTACAACAATATCTACTTTCAGGTCAGTTGCAGAGCGGCTAATGTTGGGCTCACGCGTGGAGCCCGAGGAGTTTGAGGAGGTGTCCATTTACTTCAGCGACATCGTGGGTTTCACGGAGCTGGCGGCGCGCTCCACACCCATTTTTAAAAAAATTATATAAAATAATTGACAAAATAAAACGAGCTAAAATTTTTTTTGGATATTTAACATTACATGTATTTTGATAAAATAATTAAAATAGATATGTTTATAAGCAAATACATGGAAAAAATTACATTGAAGTAGACAGTTTTGGTGATTTTATAATATTATTTTATAATATTAAATCGAAATATTATCGTAATTTAGGTTTTGCTATACCCTAAAAGACTATATATTTCATTATAATAACGCTTAAAATAAAGTATTTTAGCTTATAATAATGATTGTATTCAACCTGAAAGATAACTCTGATGCATATTTTCGTAAAACACAGTGAAGGGATTGTCTTCGCCCTAAAAAATCGTCATTAAAAACTATGATTTTGCACTGCTATGTATTAAATAAATACTTCATCTTTCTAAAGCCCTAATTTTCAGCAAATAATCTCCTCACGTCGTTACGATATCGCCTTTGGAAAAACTATAAAACATGTAGTTTTCGACGCGAAACGCATATGCCCTCTTAACGACGTATACGGAGCGAATACTACAAACGAACGCATCGCCTCTTACTGGTAAAACTTAAAACTTTGGTCAACTCACTGAGTATCATCAGCTTCCACAATCGCTTTTAATTCAACGATGTCGAATGAAAAGCGATTGTGGAAGCTGATGATACTCAATCTACGGCTGAATTAGCAACAGCTTTCGAAGTTAGCATCAAAACAATATAGATCGTAAAGATCTATTACTATTGATAAATGGGTGCTCCATGAACCTAATAATCGCTAGCGCAAAGTACTCGTCGAGACATGCCTTGCATTGCTTAACAGGCACACAAACGAAGGAATTTTTAAACCGCAATGTTACCTGCGAAGAAAAATGGACTGTTTAACAGTCGCCAGCGTTCAGAAAATTGTTTGGATCCTGATTTATCACCTTGGAACGATAACTTACCGCTCGAAAAATGTTGGTCACTGTTTGGTGGTGCAGCGCCAATGTGATTTATCACAGCTTCTTACCAAACGGGATGAGCATTACTGCAGATGTGTACTGTGAAGAATTGATCACGATAATGGAGAAGCTTGCATGTCTCAAACCGGCTTTGGTCGATCGCTCGTCCCCGCTTCTTCTGCACGACAACGTGTGACCTCATAATGCACAAGAGACGGTCTCCAAGTTACAAGAGTTGAGGTTGGAAACTCTCAGTCATTCACCGTTCTCATCAGACCTTGCGCCTACAGATTTTTACTTTTTCCAGAATTTGGATAACTTTTTGGCGGGAAAAAGATTCAATATCCGAGGGGCAGTACTAAATACCTTTGTAGAATTTGTTGCCTCCCGTCTAGCTGATTTCTTTAGGAAGGACATCAATGAACTGCCACTGCGTTGGCAGAGATGCATTGATTGCATAACTGATTACTTTGATTAATAGAAATAAAAATTCATATAAAACGGCAATTTCATAGGTAATGGACCTAATATGTATCCAAGTATGTAGTTTAGAGAAGAAAAGAAAGTTTAAGAAGTTTTCACTTCAATAAAGATATTAAGATATTGTCGGCATCATTTCCAACTGTTGATAATGGATAACTTTGCGGAGTGGGCGGTCTCGCGGGCAGGTGGAGACGATCGGCGACGCATACATGGTGGTGGGCGGGCTGCCCACGCGCGCGCTCGATCACGCAGAGAGCGTGGCCACCATGGCACTGCACCTGCTGCACCTGGCCGGTCGCTTCCGCGTGCGCCACTTGCCGGCGCAGCCGCTGCATCTGTGCATCGGCCTGCACTCGGGGCCCTGCTGCGCCGGCGTCGTCGGCCTCACCATGCCGCGCTACTGCCTCTTCGGCGACACTGTCAACACCGCCTCGCGCATGGAGTCCACCGGTCGCCGCTCCACGCTTTTTTTATACAATAACATTGAAAAACGAGCACACAGTCCATCTGATGCTAAGTGGATGCTGTGGCCCATAATTCTCAACATTCACCCTGGATTAAGAATCAAAATCCATAAACTTAGTCACCCATAACGACTGAAGTGGAATGTCTCATTTCCAGTTAAACTTACATAATATTATTCTCGCCCTTCGTTATCGTTTGTCTACATGTTTTAACTAAACATGTAGACAAACGATTTATTAACAGAATCAGGCGTTAGTTTGGGAAATTAAACACGTTAAAAACGACTGACGGCTCGGTGCCGCAATGGATTAATAAGTTGCAACAAGTATTTGTATGACCTACAAATAATAATTTCGATGCTGTATATTCGTGCTTATTAATTTATGTATATAAACTACTCCTATGATACAGCACAAAATCCATATGATTGCAAATTTTTTTGAGATTAAAACAGGAAATATATAATAATCATCATCATTACAGTCCTTCACAAGTCCACTGCTGAACATAGGCCTCCCCCAAGGAATGCCACGCCAGCACGGTCCTGAACCACCTGAATCCATCGACTTCCTGCATGTCTTACCAGGTTGTCACTCCATCTAGTGGTGGGTCGCTCTACACTTCGACGACACCCATTGTAGTCCTTGATCAGGATTGCTATACGATGAGATCGACGTCTCCAGATGTGCAACTGCAAATTTATTATATATATATATAATAAATTAATCAGAAAAAAATATTTTGAGCACAAATTCCATAATAGCCTAAAAAAGTCCACTGCTAAACGAAGGCCTTCTCTAAAGATTGCCTCACGGGGGGAATGTCGTCATAGACCACGCCACGCCACGCCACGCCACGCTTGGCGACCGCGTTGTTTTATTTAGCTGTAGTTGTGGAGACGCTGCAGCCCATCTTTCAGTGCGTTCCCTCTGTCACTGCTTACGACACCCACGGGATGAAATAGGTAGTAGGTATTCTGACACTACCACTACACAATTAGTAGTCTCATTAAAATTGCCTAAATAAAATTTAAACAACTATGAATTTAGTGATGTTTATATTCTTAAAATTAGCTTTAACGAGATAACTATTCATAACTTCTTTGAAGAAGATTTTACAAGCATATCCCATACTAGATTTTTTTACGATTTTTATTTACTTTTACCGGGCCAAATGAAAAACAGGTTTTCTTACGGAGTCACCACAAAAATTTTCATATTATTATGAATTGATCAATTTTTAATATGATAATAGATCTGAATGTCAGGATTAAAACTGAGAAAACTGTGATTTGAGAGAAAATGTTGTTACCAGGGTTAAGAAAGTAGTACTTCGGTGGTTTCATCATGTAAAAAAGAATGAATAATGAATAGACAAATTTGTGAAATCAAATTTATGTTGTGGAAGTGAGTGTTAGAGTCGGTAAGTCCGCCGTAGACAGGAGTTACCGAACAAATTGGTGGCATATGGGCCTAATTAATAGTAATTTTAACCGACGAGATTATTTTCAAAGAACATGAAATTAGCAAGAGACGTGTGCCAGGATCTTGCCAAATAGAAGTTCGTTGTCTCCATAGATGTAGTATAGTATAGCTTAGCGATCGAGTTATTAGGGTGAGACAAATAGTGCTGCACGATGCATTGTATACTTCATCTACAATTATCAATACCGATTGCAGTATATTCGATTTTATTCGGGAGCCATTGAGTGAGGAAACGATTGCATTTCCTCGCTGAATGGCTCCTCGCTTTTATACTCGTATGTGCGGCTGTTGATAACTAAAACCATCCTGCTTTTATCAAAAAGGTATCAAACAAGACTACGACTTCAATTTTTTATTTTTACAAAGATCACTAATATATTGTAAAAATTTTGTATGCTAGCCATGCTGAAGCTTTATATTGGCTACAGCACCAATGGGCCGGCTCGACCGGGGAAGCATCACAATATTGAGAAATAACAGCGTAAAATAGCAGCACAATGCAATGCAAATTGTTCTGCGAAATTGCACATTCGAACACACAACAGAGAAACCGAACAGGAAGAACCGAAAAAGAAAACCGGAGACCCTTTTTACTAGAAACGAAGCATTCCATCTTAGTCCTCAGGAGTGACAACGCATCTGCATTCTGATTTGTAATCGAGGATAAATGTAGATATTTATGGGCCACAGCATCCACTTAACATCAGGTGGACTGTGTGCTCGTTTGGCACCCTTATTCTATATAAATAAAGATTGGGTCACAGAAGTACATTTGCCATAGTTGTAAACGCTTAGCAAACGACACCCGGGGTGATGTGGGGTAGTGAATATTGTTACACCGCCACTACACGCTGGGCACCTCAATAAAAAACATTTGTCTTTAAAGTACTTGCTGCATGTAGTCGAATATTTCCTTTGGAATCCATTTTTCTCTATTTATTATTTCCAATTATTTTGTCGAACATCATCGTCGGCATATTTTGTGAATTTCTCGCATAGCATCCACTTAACATTTGGTGGACTACGTGCTCGTTTGCACCTATTTCTAATTAAAGAAGTTTTTGCATACGATTTGAAGAATATTAAGCTACGGAAACTTAAAAAAATATAAAGTTGAATGAGGCTGCATGCAAGGCGTACTTTAGCCTGTTAAGTACATTTCGATAAGATACTATCGATAATTGAAATTCTACGAAAGTAAGGGTTAAGGCGACACCGTGAAAAAATGCATCTCCTTTCATCGAATAATATAGGACTATGACACCACTAACGAAAGTGAAATTTTGATATAGGTAAATTCATGTCATTATCTTGAATTTGATTGTTCAAAAACACGATTGTATAATTTTGACTCGATCATAATTATTTGCGAAAACACCTCTAAAAAATCACTATAGTTGAAATTATAACGAAATTACTTAATCTTGTTGCTTGGGAATCACTCAAATATATTCATAACATCGATATTCATAATTTACTTGCTCATTATTTTGATTACTTAAATCAATAATTTAAAAAAAATATAATTTAAGATTCTGAAAATTTCTAAGCGCTTTTAATCATCGCGGGCGCTACGCTATTTTAGACCTTATGACGGCGTTTTTTCATTTCATTTTCGAGGTAGATTTTCAAGTAATTGTAATTATTTTAAATTCAATTGCTTTGCGTTGTTCCCCTGCCTAAAACCTGCTCTAAAAAACATCATTTACATAGCTAAACATTGCAATCGTACCCGTGAAGTATAATAGTTTAGAATTTCTTTCTGAGGTGAGCTATATTTAGGTACTACGCGCCTAGTTATAAATAATTACGAATATCGAACACGAATTTTCACTTTGAATTCTGAGATTCTGCAAATACAAGCGAAATTTGTTTTTATTCATGAATAAAATCAGCCCGATAGCGTGTACGTGAATGGTGCAGCCTATCTTTCTCGATCTAATATAAGCGTACACTATGATCTTTCTCTTTTGCATTAACAATCTACTCTATCGTCAGTTTATACTAAATCTATGGTTGTCTCTGTCTCTGAGTGACAGGCGTAAGTGTTCATGTGTGTGTATGTTATATTACGTAAATGTTAGTGTAATAAACGAGCTAACAGCCCACCAGATGATATGTGGGCGCTGCAGTTCATGAACGCCTGCAATTATCTAAAATCAACAAAGACTACAGATGCATTATCACTCCCGAGGACTAAGATGGAGAACACTAGTAAGACGTATTTAGTATATGTGATGGACTGTGTCGTGGCCCAGCGTACGAAACCTTGAAATATGAGGTGAAGTCTCGCTGCAGGTGCGGCGTGGCGCATCCAGGTGTCGGCGGCGACGGCGGGGCGGCTGGCGGCGGCGGGCGGCTACCAGCTGCGCTCGCGCGGTCTGCGTCACATCAAGGGCAAGGGCGCCATGCACACCTACTGGCTGCTGGGCAAGGACGGCTTCGACAGGCCGCTGCCCGTGCCGCCGCCGCTGCAGTGAGTGCGCGCCACGTTCACCATACACTGCAAAATTATGTATCTATAAATCTCTTTAGATTGTTATATTTGCATCCTTACAAGCTTTTAACTAATTTTCTTTAACTTTCCAATCAGATGTAGCCCTAAGTTTTTAGCCATTGTGGACCAAATTATCTTAAACGGTTTTTATCTAAAATCATACGTGAAACGTCATAAGTGAAATTTTATCACAGATCCGAGGAGGTTCTGTTCGAGTCAGACGGTGAGAACGATAGTGAACGTTCAGGTGCCGAAGCCGCACCACTTCTTGATCGAACATCTACTGTTAATAAAGATTAAACATTCATATTTTACTAATCCGTATATTTTTTATTTCTTTGCCAGCCCATAAAAGTCCAGTACTGGATGTGACGCTTTACCATAGTTGGCATAATTATGGAAGAAATTTGACGCTGGTTGCTGTCACCGATTTGGGTGTTTTATGTTTGGCGTGAACAAATTGGTTTACTGTCGTCTATCTGAAGCCTTGAAACTTTTGGTCATATCACCTTCTAAAACACCCACGGGGCAATATGACATAATTAACCAGCACCGCATGGCATTATGGGTACAATAATCTCTAAATTATATGAAGCTTAACCATGTACTGGTGTAATTATATCTATTCCTCCACATTATCCCGTGGGTGTTGTAGAGGCGACGGAGGTGAATTGAATCAGGAGATGGGCAGCACTCTCTTGCTAAAAAAATTGCAGTTGCAATCCCCAAGTCAAGCGCAGCAAGTATGGCCTTTTGTTTAGTAGTGGACTTAACAGTCTATAATCCTGGACTATCACCAAAATTGAGAAACGGTGTCGTGACACCTTAAGATATTGCATCAGCTTATCTCATTGCGTAGGTGTCGCAAGAGGCAACCTAGAATAACATCCGGAAGGTATTGTAGCTTTCCGATAGATTGTGGTAACCAACTCGTAGTTTTGCTCGTAAACAGTGTTAAAGGCACATGTGTAGATAAACGGAACAGAGACAAAGCTTCTTAAGAACATGCAAAATTTTTACCTATTTTGGTAGGGTTGCAAAAATAAGTGATATTCATTCTATAACTATTAGGAACAGACGCAAGCCAGTAGTACCAGTTACTCGACTTCACCAAGTTAACAATTAAAGAGTTCCGTCGTAAAGATGCTTGCTGCAGCAGCAGTTCATGATAAAAATTGTGTTAAACTATCAAAATTAAACTAACATACAAAATTACGTGACCCTACTACTACCCCCTGTGAGGAGAGTTCCCTAGTGAGGAGACAAATCTAGCTACATCACCAGGTTATATCTAGCATATTATTGCATTGTCACTGAAGTTACAGTACATAAAATTTCAACTCAATCAGACATCGGGAAGTGGTTCAAATCTTACTTGCAGTATATGAACTTAACACGCAGACGTATTCTACAAATGTTTAGTAGGTAAAAGCTTGTACTAACAATAAAAAGATATAAACACACCTTAGCACTCTCTTCTTACTAAAAAAAGGATCGTACAATAAAATAAAAATAAAATAAAGGTACTTACTAGAAAAAGTTAAAATCATATATTTACTTACCGATTGTACTCCTTGGGATTATTAAAGTATGATATATTTTTATTGTTTCTACTATTATTCATACACACAGTACAATAAACAACCATAATTAATAATACCACATTTTTACATTAAAATTGCAACTAACAAAACAAACAACGTGCGTCGCACTGACCCTGAGATTGTTCACTGGCTGTGGCAGCATAACCGGTTTTTTCCAGTCTCGTCGCACGTACGAGACAAGCGGCCAGTGGTCACGCACACATGCCCCGTGTGCTTGTAGCAGTGCAACTGATTCGCGCGGTTGTATGAAGTTTTATCTCTGTTCCATTTATCTATTCATGTGGTTAAAGGCGAGTGTTGTCCGGTATGCGACTATGCGAGTATACACAGTGTAGAACATGGCGGTTTACAGAGGCGGCAGCGGCGGCAACGGCGTGCGGAGTGGGCGGGGCGCGTGCTGGGCGCGCGGCCTGGGCACGCTCGGGCGCCGCGTCCGCCGACAGCAGTCCGCCGCGCCTTGCGCACGCCGCACACTCTCGCTACAGGTACATCTGCTGCTTATTGCGATTTAACTACAGGGCAGAAGGGGTTCTTTACTCACGCGATTAAGCGCCCAACAATTACATCGCAAAAAGATATTCAATTTACATATACTAATGCACATCAGTTTGAATTTACTAAGAAGCGTTCCATATGTGATGCAGAGGTGTTTTTAATTCAGCACATTTATAGCGCTTCGGATAATACAATAGCTTTGGAGAATGCTATAAGTGTCTATTGTTATTCAACCAAAGCCTTTAAATGAATCAAAATGTTATGTCTTAATAAGTCTTTTTATTAAATTTTCTACATTTATTGGATTCTTACTTAAAGCAATAGGATCCAGAAGAACTGAATCAATGGTATAATTTTTTTTTACGTTCTGTAATAAAAATAGGTGTGCCACAGGGATCCAATAGTGATCAATTCTTGTTTTTTATCTTCATTAATGATTTACCATACTTAGTTCATAAGCTCACTAACATTGTCAGCTTCGTGACGCAGTGGTTTAACATTCAGTGGCGGCGCTGATGACCGCGACCTCGTATCCCACACGGAAAAAGTATTTGTATGGCCTAGAAGCAATTGTTCCAAATCTGGATGTTTGTCTTTGTGCAATTTTTGTATGTTAAATGCCTCCACGATACAGCAGAAACTGCTATTATGGAGGTAACGTTTGAAAAAAAAAGGGAAAATGAGATAAAAAGGATCGTGTGGAGATGATACTTAAGTCATATTCAAAGTCGATCAAAAACTGAGACCGTCAGTGAATTGAATAGTACTCTAGATACGGTTTAAAATTGGTTCCACGTGAATCATTTAGCCTATAATAGAGGAATCGCAGCTTTGAAATTTTGCAGGTAATTTGGAATAATCGAATATCTCTATTAACGTAAACGCCGTTTATGTATTTTTTTCCATACACATAACGTCACATGACGAAGTCAATATACAGTAAAAACAGTGAGCCATCTGGACTTTTTTTGCTTTTTTTTACACGGGAGTGAAAACTTCTAATTTGAAAACTTTTTCAGTAAGAATGTAATCCTTGTTAGAAACAGAAACTTTTTTATTCAATATAGATTATAAACAATGCTTATTGAAAGTCAATTTTTTCATTTACCACTAGTTCGCAAAAAAACTTCTGTCCTGGGAAGAACCAGCAAGAAAACCAGCGGGACTATTTTTTTTTTTCAAATAATAGCTTACAATCATGTTTACAATTAACAACACAAGACAAATTAAAAATAGCTTGGTAGCGATCACCCTTTCACAGGGGTTATTATCATCCATAAATTCCTTAATATTATTATAACGCTTTTTATACAAACTTAGTTTAATAAAATTGTTGAACTTTGCGTATGACAAATTTTGTACATTTTCTGGGAGTTTGTTGTAAAAGCGTATACATCGCCCCAAGAATGAATTACTGACTCGGTGGAGTCGAGTAACTGGTACTACTAGCTTGTGTCTGTTCCTAGTATTTACAGAATGGATATCACTTATTTTTGCAAAACTATGTTTATTCTTGTGTACGTACATTACATTTTCATAAATGTATTGAGAGGCAAGAGTTAATATATTAATTTCCTTAAATTTTTGTCTCAGTGACTCTTTTGGTTTTAAATTATATATTGCTCTAATGGCTCTCTTCTGTAAAATAAATATAATTTCAGTGTCAGTCGCGTGTCCCCATCGCAAAATATCATACGACATAATGCTATGGAAATAACTAAAGTAAATTATTCTACCTGTTTCAACACTGGTAAGAGTTCTAATCTTTTTTACAGCATATGCTGCTTAACTAAGTCTGCTAGCTAGTTTTGATATATGGGGGTGCCATTGAAGCTTCGCGTCTAGTGTGATTCCAAGAAAAATTGTGGTATCAACAAGACTCAGTTCTTCCCCATTTAAAATTACATTCGTATTAACATGTTTGACATTAGGAGTTACGAATTTCATACATTTAGTTTTAGTACCATTTAAATGCAAATTATTAACATTAAACCAATTGACTAACTTAGCTATGGCATTATTTACTTTGTCGTAATTTAATAACTGTCGTTTTAATTTGAAAATTAATGAAGTATCATCAGCAAATAATACTATATCATGGTTATCCCCTACTATGACGAGAATTGAACCCTGAGGCACGCCCATTTGTACAGTTGACCCGGAAGAACTCATACTATTAATGACAACTTTTTTGCGTTCTGTCACTTAAATATAAAATAATTAATTTAAGAGCATCATTCCTTACACCGTAGTGTTGAAGTTTCCTGATTAATGTTTCATGGTGAACACAATCGAAGGCCTTGGATAGGTCACAGAATATACCCAAAGCATCCTGTGAATTCTCCCATGCATTAAAGATATATTTAATAAGCTCAACACCAGCATCAGTTGTCGAGCTACCCCTTGTGAAACCAAATTGATTTTTATGAAGTAAATTCTTTACATTAAAATTTTTTTACATTTGATCGAGTATAATGTTTTCAAAAGTTTTACTATAAGTGTTGGCAGTATAGAAATAGGTCTAAAATTTGCGGGGTCCAATGTACTGCCAGATTTAAATAAAGGTATTACTTTACTATGCTTCATTAAATCAGGAAACACACCAGATTTGATACTAGTATTAAAAATAATAGATAGTTGAGGTGCGATTGCATCTATTATAAACGCAATAACTTTAACGGAAATCCCCCACAGTTTTCTTAACATCAATAGTCTTAAAAAATTTTAGAATATCTTTTGATGACACTTTATGAAATGTCAAATTCTTTGTACACGCATTTACATTTTGTTTAAGTAATGATTCGGCGACGGCAGGAGAAGAATTCAGTGACTTAGTGGTTAAGATAGGAACATCAGTAAAATATTTCTCGAAAACCATTGCAACGTCCTGGTCTGATTCACTTAATTTATTGTTAAAACTTAACTGATAGTTCGAATTGCGAGAGTTAACCTTACCAGTTTCACTATTAATTATACTCCATGTCATTTTAATTTTATTAGAAGCCGTCTTTATTTTGTTGCTCAAATACAATGACTTGGCTATGGAGCACACTCTTTTAAATATTTTGGAATATTTTTTTACATATTCCCTAAATTCGACGCTAGGATTATATGACCTTTCATTGTAAAGTTCATATAAACTTTGTCTACTCTTATGGACTCCTACTGTCGCCCATTCATTAAATGCCTTCCGATTGTTCA